TCTGTTTTTGCGGTTTGAATCATAAAGCCTGCATCCAAGGCGAAACACAATCCAAATCTGAGAGAAAAAGCTTCCGCTAATTCCGGCAAAAAAGACCCTGCCTGATGAGAAACAAAGTCAGTCCAACACAAACCCTCCGAATCACAAATCCAACCACCCACACCAATTGAAGAATCGTTTGCCGCCGCGTCACAAAAAATGGAGAAACCATTTAAACACGTACCTGGGCCATACCAAGCAGAGGTCGGAGTCGGACTGAGTGTTTGTTGGATACTCGAAGAGCATAGAGACATAGTGTTTGTCTCTTTCAACCAATCATTACCGAGTGCCCATATTTGATCCACACTCCTAGCCGGCTTGCCATGTTGAATACGGTTCCTCTCGTTCCAAATAATCCACATAAATGTTGCAAAAACCCGAAATTTCAATACCTCGATCCCCATCTAGGATTTCACAAAGGATCGAAATGAAACTTTGACCTCGTAATTTTACTAGAAGATCCCACCATCCAGCCATTTTCCACAATCGTTTAACCCAACCGCAATCAAAGAAAATGTGGATATTTGATTCCAACCCACCACATCTGACACATTTTGTTTCCGAAATAATTGATCTACGAGCCAGATTTTTGGAAGAGGGGATGGACATGTGACACAATCTCCACAGAAAAACTTTGATTTTTGGCACTACTTTAATTTTCCATAGTGATTTCCACCATCGAGATGTTTTGCTAGAGCACGACTCCTGTTGTTCTCCAAATAATGATTTAAGCAAATGATAGGCGTTCTTCACAGAGTATGACCATTTTTAGAGAAGTGCCAAATGGTCCGATCCGGTAAGCGGTTATTGCTCAAGGGAATAGACAGAATCTTCTGAGCGTCAATAGGTAGAAAAATACCATTAATCAAATTCTCATTCCAAGCTCCGCTCACCCCGATGAGGTCTTTTACTCGGTTAATTCCAAGTACCGGATGAGAGAAAGGCCGAAAGAATCGAAAGTGGAGTATCCATGGATCAGAGTAAATATTTATTGACGCCCCATCGCCCACTCTCCATCTCAATCCGGCTCTGAGCGCCTCACGACCCCACAAAGTACTTTTCCATAAAAAAAGAGGATCCCGCTCGATCCTTAGCCTCCAAGAAATTATTGGATGGAAAATATTTCGCTTTGAGAACTCTAGCCACAAGAGAATCCGGAGACGAAAGTATCCTCCACGCTTGTTTTCCCAACATTACTTGATTAAAAAAAACCATGTCTCTGAAGCCCAAACCTCCCTCCTGCTTTGACAGTGTCATTCTGCTCCATTTCACCCAGGATATCTTTCGTTCACCATTACGGGATCCCCACCAAAATTAATCAATAATTTGTCTAATTTGGTTACAGATTGAAATAGGTAACCTGAATAGACTCATAAAATAAGTGGGGATAGCTTGCACCACAACTTTAATAAGAATTTTGCGCCCCGCTGATGAGAACAAATTACGATTCCATGTATGAAGGCGCTTCCAGATCTTTTCTCGAATCAAGGCGAAAGATTGCTTTTTATCCCTTTCAAACATCGAAGGTAATCCGAAGTATGTTCCAATGGAAGTTGGTGAATGAATTCCAAAAATCGACCAAATGGTCTGGCGAAGAGCTTGAGGTGTATTTGGACTGAAAGATATGGTTGTTTTCTCCAGATTTACTTGTTGTCCAGAAGCGCATTCGTAGAGATTTAGTATGTTTACAATTGAAGCAGCCTCTACCGAAGTTGCCTTTGAGAAAACAATGGAGTCGTCCACAAATAGAAGATGGGATATTGGTGGACAGTTCCTGCTACATTTCAGCCCCTCCAAATTTCCATTTGTTTCTGCTTTTTTCAAAGTAGCCGAGAGCCTCTCCGCACAGAGGATAAACAAGTATGGTGATAAAGAACACCCATGGCGTAACCCGCGAGACAGTGTAACTTTTCCCACAATCTGGCCGTTGATTTTAAAAGAAAAGTTAACAGAGGAGATGCAGTTCCTAATTATCTGTCGGAAACGAACAGGAAAGCCCTTCTTAAACAATATTGCATCAACAAAATCCCACTCCACTCGATCGTAAACTTTACTCATGTCAAGTTTAAGAGCCCTTCTTAAACAACATTGTACTAGTCTTCTATATACAACGAAATGGGAATCGTAGCAGATTTCGTAAATTACTCGATTAGGAGGGCTATATCCGTAAATTGGGCTTCGCAAATATTCACACAATCATACAACAATAACTACAGACGATTGGGTGTATATATTGTGTATGTATAGGTTAACAGCATTTTTTTTATTTAATTTATTTAATACCCAAAAAAACGTTTCAGTACAAATTCTGCAAATGCAACGCCGGCTTACATTTACTCAAACACCTCTCTCTCTCTCTCTCTCTCTCTCTCTCTCTCTCTCACACACACACACACACACACACGCACTCCTTCCTCCATTCCCATTCTCTCTCTAATCTTTTCCTGTTCATCTCCTTCGCTTTTTCTTCTGTTAATTTAGTCTGTTCATTTCATCTCTTTATTCATCCACTTTTTTGCTTTTAAAACCACTGGGAAAAAAAAACTGAAAACCCATTTTCTCTGCTCACCTTCTGTGAAAATTTTGGCCGGAAAATGCTCCGTCAGCTGGATTTTGGAGCTGTTCTGTATCGATTGATTTTGTGAAGCCATATAGATTTTGTGTCGGCAGAAATCAAAATTTCTGGTTTTTGTTTCGAGCAGAAAAGGGAAAAAAGAAAAAAAAAATGCCCGAGACGCTGCTGCGCGTGAAGCCGGCCGAGAACGAGAGGAAGAAAGCGAATGAAGAGATTACAGACAGAGAGCACGAGAGATTACTGGAGAACACGACCACGACCACCACGCCGAGATCAGTCATAATCGTCCCCCGCAGCAAATCCCAGGCCGCCTGCCGGCGCGTGACCCCCACCTCCATTTCCGATACCGGCGGCGCTAATGGGGTTTTCGAGAAGCGTCTCCCGAACGGGGATCTGTACATCGGGACCTTCCTCAACAACGCGCCCCACGGATCCGGTAAGTACCTTTGGAGGGATGGGTGCATGTACGAGGGGGAGTGGAAAAAGGGGAAAGCGTGCGGGAGGGGGAAATTCTCCTGGCCGTCTGGCGCGACCTTCGAGGGCGATTTCCGGTCGGGCCGGATGGAGGGATCCGGCACCTTCATTGGTCCGGACGGGGACATGTACAGAGGCACATGGGCCGGGGATCGGAAGCACGGCTACGGGGTCAAGCACTACAGCAATGGGGACTACTACGAAGGGCACTGGAAGAGAAATTCGCAGGACGGGCAAGGTCGGTATCTATGGAGGAATGGGAACGAGTACATTGGGGAGTGGAAAAACGGGTTGATCCACGGCAGAGGGGTTTTGGTATGGAACAATGGGAATAGATATGACGGTAATTGGGAAAATGGTGTCCCGAGAGGGCACGGGGTGTTCACCTGGCCAGACGGCAGCTGCTACATGGGCTGCTGGGCAAATGATATCGGCAAGAACAGCAATGGGAACCAGATTCTGAATGGGACTTTCTACCCTGCTCACAATGGCAAGAAAAGTAGTGATAGTGAAAATGTTGAGGGTTTGAAGGGATGCTTTAGTCAGAAATTGTCCACGCCGTTGATGGTGGTGGAGGAGAAGGGTGTAGACATGGTGGCTGAGGACTGTGGCGGGAAAGTACGTCCGTCTATTGAGACAGCTGATAGGGCTTTTCCGAGAATTTGCATTTGGGATTCGGATGGTGAAGCAGGTGACATAACTTGTGATATAATCGATAATGCGGAGGCCACCATGTTGTTCAGAGATGGGTTTGCGTTCGATCGGGATGGACTAAGACAGTTTAGGAGGAACATGTGTTCTTTGAGTGGTGAAGTTAAGAAGCCAGGGCAGACTATATCAAAAGGGCATAAGAATTATGATCTGATGCTCAATCTCCAATTGGGTATTAGGTGAGAAGGAGCTAGAGTTGATTTGTCTGTGTTTACTTTGTTTATTTTGCTAGCTTTGGTTCCTTTTTTTTCTTTTTCTTTTTTTCTTTTACTGAGTTTTGATGTGTATTGATTATTTCTTCAGGCACTCTGTGGGGAAACATGCTTCAGCGTTGCGTGAACTTAAGCTGAGTGATTTTGACCCTAAAGAGAAGTTCTGGACTAGGTTCCCTCCTGAGGGATCGAAACTTACACCGCCTCATCAATCGATGGACTTTCGGTGGAAAGATTATTGCCCTGTGGTTTTTAGGTAATCATCTCTGCTTAATCTTCGACTATGCTGGATTTGTTTTGGAAGCAACTCTTGGTTATTATGGCATATGATTATTGATGTCCCTTTTTAGGACATAGTAGCTTTTGAAACACTTAAGTTATGATTATCGCCTTGTTTTGTCTTTTGAAATAGTGGGTGTTATGTATTGTTAAATTCAGACATTTGAGGGAGCTATTTCAAGTAGATCCTGCGGATTATATGTTAGCTATTTGTGGTGATGATGCCCTGAGGGAGCTTTCGTCTCCAGGGAAGAGTGGAAGTCTCTTTTACTTGACACATGACGATAGGTTCATGATCAAAACAGTGAAAAAGTCAGAAGTCAAGGTTTGTTTGTTGCCTACCTATTTGACTTATACAATTTTTTAAATAATTAAAAATTAATGAACTAAGAGAACATGATGTTATCTGGAATGATGAAAACAGCACAATCAGTGGGGATTAAAATATGTGCTTGGCATCTAAAAATTATTATTCAATGTAAAAGGTGTTTGTGATGGTTTCGACCATGTCCTGGTCAATTGAGCTGCTAAATTGAATTCTATTGTTTGTCTTGTTCAGGTGCTTATAAAAATGCTTCCTAGTTATTACCAGCATGTCTGTCAATATGAAAATTCGCTTGTGACGAAATTCTATGGCGTCCATTGTGTTAAACCAGTCGGAGGCATAAAAGTACGTTGTTGCTATCATTTTTCAGTTACTATTTACGTTATATTAGCCTTTCATGTGCCAAACTAATAGTTATCACATTACTTTTCCAAATTAGACCCGGTTCATCGTGATGGGGAATATGTTCTGCTCAGACTATCGAATTCATAGGAGGTTCGATTTAAAGGGATCCTCTCATGGCCGTACAACAGACAAGCCTGAAAGAGAAATTGATGAAACCACAACTCTTAAGGATCTTGATCTCAACTTTGTATTTCGGCTGCAAAGTAATTGGTATCTAGAGTTGATGAAGTTAGTATTCTGAAAACTGTCTTTTTTCTTTCTTTTTTTTTTGTGCCTCTGAACTTTTCCATGTGATATTGGCATGTATCTGATTCACTAAAATCTTATCCAGACAAATTGATCGTGACTGTGAATTCTTGGAGGCAGAGAGGATTATGGATTACAGTCTCCTAGTGGGTCTTCATTTTCGTGATGATAGCACTGGAGACAAAATTGGTTTGTCCCCTTTTTTGTTGCGTACAGGTATTTTCGTTTATTTGTGAATATCATGGCAAACACTCTCTCGGCAGTTCTTGTTTGTGGCCACTGAAGATTGCTTATATTTGTAAAACTTATTTTCCGCCTCAGGAAAGAATACTTCGTATCAAAGTGAAAAATTCATGCGAGGTTGTCGTTTTCTTGAAGCCGAACTCCAAGATATGGACCGCATTTTAGCTGGCAGGTATGTTGTTTTTAGCTGCTTGTTCTTTTTTGTTCATGCTTCTTGGATTCAATAAATGCTCAAATGATATTTTCAGCAAGCACATAGTAATCTGCCTCATTTTTATTTTTTTAATTATTTCTAACTGAGTACAATGGAAGTGATCTGTTATGCCAAAACATACATAGACAACTTCCTAATCAGTGTATGTTCAATTTGGTTAGGTTTGGAACAATAATTTTCTTGCATCGAATTTAAACACGGTAGTTGAAATAATAAGAAGGCCCTTTAGGTGGGTTGGCAAAATATTGTTTGTTCGGCCATTTTATGAGAGGACAGTTGTTTGTGGGGCATGTTACAACGTACAAGCCCCCCTTCGCAATAATTATCAGTTTACGAAAAATATGAACACGCAAGTTTAACTTTTCATCCGGATAAATGTATTAGGAAGCCACTTATCAGGCTGGGTGCCAACATGCCTGCCCGAGCCGAGCGTGTGGCCCGAAGGTCTGATTTCGATCACTACACGAACATTGGATCAAACAATTTGATGAGACCCTCACGAAGCCGTGAAGTCTATGAAGTGGTCCTCTACTTTGGGATAATCGACATTTTGCAAGACTATGACATCAGCAAGAAGCTCGAGCACGCGTACAAATCCCTACAGGTGGACCCCACCTTGATCTCAGCTGTCGACCCAAAACTTTATTCCAAGAGGTTTCGTAATTTCATCGGGCGAATATTCGTCGAGGATAGGTGACAACACAATCATGGCCTTGAGTTTTTGCTGATCAGCCATGGTGTGGTAGATTTGTTTTGTAAATGAAAAAATTGAGAAGGTGAAGTATTTTTTTTATTTTAATATATTTCTACTAGTTTTTTGTTAGTAATTTTTGGTGAAACCATGTAAAATATGGGTGGTAGGGAGAGAGAGAGAGAGAGGGAACAAGATGTTTTCCCAAAGAAAAAAAAAATATCCAAATTATGGGGGTTGGAATTGAATAATATGGTGTGAATAGCATAAAGGAGAAAAAGGTGGAATATATTATTTTCAAAAAATTGAGCCTTATTCACT